TTTTAACTAAATAAGAATGGACACAGGTTTTTCCATATACTCCTCATCGTTCTTTCACAAATTTCAGCGCACAAGTCTTCCATGATTCTCAGCGCATCCAGAACACTAAGTCATTCACTGATTTTTGACACTAACCTTCTTTCACATATTTGGGCTAAAATGGACGGTGGGTTACAGCATGATTTAAAACTTTTAATTACAGTACGGTTCATAGCTTAGAATAAACTTGTTTTGTTTTCAGCCTAGGATCAAAGTCCGAGAGTTGCTTTAGGGTGGTCATTAGCACTGGCAAGAATTAGCATCACATTTAAAGGTGGGTTTTTTGAGCGGCAGTTGTCAAAAAGGGATGAAATAATGGCGAAACCAGTCTTCATTGACATCAGAGGTGACCCACGTCCTAGTGCTTGATTCCCATTTCACCGGAAGGTCAGCTTTGAGCCCTTTCTTCTGGGTCTAGACCCCTCTCACCGATAGATCAGAAGTGGCTTCAATTAGAAATCCCTGGCAGCATGCCTACAAAGCATCATGGTGTGTCCTCTGTTTGGATTTTTATTTCAGTAAAATTCCTTCATGACAATCCTTAAATGTAATTCTAGAAACATTTGTCCAGAGCACTCGGGTTTCTTCAACATTAACACAAAGTCCATCCTGTATCATGATCTTCAAGTCTTGGGCAACAATGAGCAGCTTATTAATCTGGACTTGCAGCTTCACCTACCGCTGCAGTGCTGAACCAATCACAGCGCTATCTCAATTGAGGAAATTTCAGTTTCCTCGTTCATTGAAAAATACATTTTACATCGTTGCGTATAGTATTTTGATCGACAGCAGTCCAACTCTAACGTAGATATTACACGATATTTTGAGTAAGGGCTCATTTTCAGAAGCGAGTTCATCACGTTTCAGAGTAACTGCTTAATTCGGTAATCCGGCATTTTTCACCCTGTTGATTAAGGTTCTAACAGCGGTTTAAGAAGGGCAGGTTTAGTGGCCATATTGCAAAAATAAAACCCGCTTTTGAAAATGGTTAGTAATGTCTAGTCAGCGTTTTCCTTTGCTTAATTGAAGACCAAGAAGTTGATTGGTTTCTTTTTAAAAATATAATTAGTTAGATGGGCAGCTGTTCTAAATTTCGCTCTATGACAATTCGGCGCCGATCGATAGCAATTGACAAAGTGCAGTTTTTGGTGCATAGGTGAAACAGATATATTGCCAGAGAGAAATATCATGTTTCAGAAAATTGCAATGTGTTCTACTCTGGTTTCTGCATAAATAGGAAATTGGCACATAACTTGTTGTAAATTTGCGAGTCGACGACTGGTCTAAAACAGCAAAGAAGCACCAACAACTTTATGAGATGAAAGCAGTGCTTAGAACCTGATATCGAACCTGTTTGGCTTCTTGAATGGAGACTACATTGCTATTTATGAACGTTGAATACATTAAAGACAACATGCTTTGCCACATCACACTCTTTTGATCTTTCTCCTGTATTTGCTCAGAAAATATTGCCCTTGGTTAGGTCGCCCAACTTCGAAACACTGTCGACCCATTAGCCGCGTTTCTTTATTTGTCATAAGTCATATTTCTTACTGTCATTTGAAACTGAATCGTAATGCTGTTGTATGCAACCGAGTTTTAGTGGTGACTGACTTCGCTTCCGAAATTCCGCTTAACAAGTATGCAATCAATACAACAGTTAACTTGCAAGTGTACAGAATCATGTGACAATTCTGACCAATAAATGAGTGTTCGATATATTTAATACGATACATGAATAGAGGAGTTGTGTGGTGCCATGAGGAGAACAGCAGTTTTGCTAGTTGTTACATTCACAAATATAAAAAAATGCATCATAAGAACCAACGATAACATATGCTACAACGTTTCTGCAATGCCGACAAACCAATATGAGAATTTCAAATTCAATTTTTTTAGGGGAAGTACGTTGTGCCGAGAAACGTTCCAGTGCTGGTTGACGAGTTTCAGCTCAGAAGCGAAATGGCCGTTTTTGTGAAGATCACCTGCAGTGCGCACAGACTTCAGAATCGAAAGAAATGTTTGCATAGCTTTCATTCACCTGCTAAAAACTCTATGGTTAGAGTATATAAATGAAGCTGAAATTTGTGTGGTTATCGATTTATCGTGAACGAACAAAATGGCGAAAATTATGTTCCTCTGTTTGTTGCCATATGCTCTTGGTGGTCAATGCGAAGATAACTACGAAGAGATTAAGAAAGAGAAGAAAGAAAAGAACTCAGATAGGAGGTACGAATAGTTCAATGATTCCTATGTCTAAATATTCTCTATGAAATTTAGCACGGAATCCATGAGACATTCCGCAAGCTGTCAGAAGAACAACTCAGACATATGCTTGGATCCAAACCGAATGAAGCGGACTACAAAGCTGCATTTGCAGAGACTGTTGAACTGCTAGATGAAACCGATATACCAAAAGAATTTGATGCTTGAAAATAATGACCATACTGCAGTTCCATTCGGAGGTCCGTGAACTCCTGCTGGGTGAAACCATTTCCGCTACCGCACATATGGTCATAAGTGGCTTTTAGGCAGTTTCTACAACATCAGGTGTGTCGGTCAGGGTGTTCATGGCGACTAGTGGTTATAAGCAGCCTTAAATATGAGATGAAAACACGATATCATGCTGCAAGTTTTGTAACAGGGGGTAATTTTCGAACTGATTCTTCAGCTTAATGGGAACGTAAATATAGTACTGGCTTGCGCATGCCAAACTTGATAGATAACAACTAACTTCAGATATAGTCTTTGAGTATTATTGATCACAATCCTAAAAGAATT